GGCGTCTATTTTATGGAGCTCAGGTGACCGAGTTTTTCAGTAATAAAGACCATCTCCAGAATTTACTTAATCTCCTTCTGACTTAATTCTTTTCACCTCTCTTTATCACGTACTCTGAGATGTCCATCTCTGTCCATTGGACTGTAGAAAGAATCAGCAATTAGATTAATCTAGGTGCTGAACAATAGACAGCTAAACTTAGTGTATAAACAAAGTTTCTAAAAACAAGACCTAAGAGATTATAGAATCGTCTAGGTTGGAAAAGCCCTTTAAGATCATCACGTCCAACCGTTAGCCTAGCACTGCCATTCCACCACTAAACCATGTCCCTAAGCACCACATCTATCCTTCTTTTAAATACCTCCAGGGATGGGGACTCGACCCCCTCCCTGGGCAGCCCATTCCAGTGCTCCTCATCAGCCTTGTGCTCCAGACCCCTCACCAGCTTTGTGGCTCTCCTCTGGACATGTTCCAGCAAGGCAATGTCTTTCTTGTAGTGAGGGGCCCAAAACTGAACACAGTATTCAAGGTGTGGCCTCACCAGCACCGAGTACAGGGGCAACTCCTGCTGGCCACACTATTCCTGATAGAAGCCAGGATGCCGTTGGCCACCTTGGCCACCTGGGCACACTGCTGGCTCATATTCAGCTGGCTGTCAACCAGTACCCCCAGGTCTTTTTCTGCCAGGCAGCTTTCCAGCCACTCTGCCCCAAGCCTGTAGCATTGCATGGGGTTGTTGTGACCAAAGTGCAGGACCCAGCACTTGGCCTTGTTGAACCTCATACAGTTGTCCTTGGCCCATCGATCCAGCCTGTTCAGGTCCCTCTGCAGAGCCCTCCTCCCCTCGAGCAGATCAACACTCCCACCCAGTTTGGTGTCATCTGCAAACTTACTGAGGGCACACTCAATCCCCTCATCCAGGTCATTGATAAAGATACTAAACAGTATCTTACTGGTTGACTGTAACTTGTGTCTTGCGTATACTAACTGTAGTTATGGTCATGTTAATTCTGGTATTTCTTGCTTTAAAAAGAAGGAGGTTAGAGTAAAAACTCAAATTCAGTCATGAAGTAAAAAAAAAAACCTTAAAAATGAGGAGTTCTGTTGCTCCCACTCTTTGTCCTTATATGAATTTTAGTGCTTATGTTTTCTGTGGTTATTTGTGTTTCTGCAAAGCGAGTAACCGGCATTATCAGATGGCTCACGTGGGTGTGGATGGGACGCACAATGGTGATACAACTTGAATTACAGAACTAACAGCAGAAAGTATTGCTATTACTAACTGCTACGTTAATTCAACACCTTCTAGATTTGGGAGCAGAGGAATTTAGGGAATGGATGAAGTTGGTGATCTCTCTTGTTTGTAGTCTTCCATTCTTGTGGCTGTGGGGCTGGGACTGTTACTCAGAGGGCTTCGCTTTCCCGTGGAGAATGGAGCACAGAGCAGTGCCGAGACCTTTTTCTGCTCTCCTGCCTCATGCAACCTCTTCCCTTTCACTTAGAATCATAGAATCATAGAATGTTTAGGGTTGGAAGGGACCACTAGTGGTCATCTAGTCCAACCCCCCTGCAGTGAGCAGGGACACCGCTAACTAGATCAGGTTGCTCAGAGCCCCATCCAACCTGGCCTTGAATGTTCCCAGGGATGGGGCCTCCACTACCTCTCTGGGCAACCTGTTCCAGTGTTTTACCACCCTCATTGTAAAAAATTTCTTCCTTACCTCTAGCCTGAACCTACCCTGTTCTAGTTTAAAACCATTTCCCCTTGTCCTAACACAGCTGGCCCTACTAAAAAGACGTTCCCCATCTTTCCTATAGGCCCCCTTTAGGTACTGGAAGAACTTCTTTGCAGGAAGGAAGTCCCATTTCACTGGACGCACGTGCACACAGCGGCTCTGGCCTGTTCCTTTGCTGGGGCGCAGCATTTTTGGCTGGGGAATAGGGAGGGAGCAGCATAGGACACAGGGGAGCATGCCAGGACACCAGTGGGGGGCACCTCTGTTTTGATCTCCTTTGTTATCACATAACCTTTGAATTGTGGCATGAAAATTATTTCTGTCTTCCCTGAAGATTAAATGTAAGGGTTGTAAACCAGTGGTAGGTTCATATAATGTGATTTGAAATGCACCTGATTTAAACCTGGCTAAATGCTCAGGTGCGGTCACATTTACTCTGGGGCTTTATCAGTCTGTCACAAGAGGCAAATCTGGGTCTTGGAGCTGAGTGGTACTTTTCTTTGCTCTTCACAGAATCCCAGAATGGCAAGGGTTGGAAGGGACCTCGGGAGATCATCTAGTCCAACCCCCCTGCTCAAGCAGGCTCACCCAGAGCAGGGGGCACAGGACATCGTCCAGGTGGGGTTTGAATATCTCCAGAGAAGGAGACTCCACAGCCCCCCTGGGCAGCCTGTTCCAGTGCTCTGGCACCCTCAAAGTAAAGAAGTACCTTGGAGGGGGGAAGACAAACGGAGAACTTGTGGGTAACTCACATTTCTGACTAATGAGATCCACATCATCTGTATTTATTTATTTTTAAATAATACTCATATGCTGTGCCTTTATTCCTTATTTCGCCTGTGATGTTTTATACCCTCCAGCAGGTGCTGCTGCATCCTGCTAATGTCTTTGTGGTGGAAGAAAAAAATCAGTCGTTTGATTTAACACCGTGCAACTGGATTTTGCTCTTTGTTTTGTGTCATTAATATGTCTCTGTTCTCTCTCCTTTCTGAAGTTATTTTCCAGCAGAGTGATTAAGGAGGGAATTTTTATGATCTCAGCATCTTTAATCCTGCAAGCGCCCTTTGTAAGAAGGGGTTGAAGATCAGTGGGAGTTGCTTATCGGGGCTGTGTTCAGAGCAAACTGAACAGTCGCAGGTAGAAATACATTTGTATTTCTACAATATGTGAAGAAATGTGAGTGTTTTCTTAAAAGTAAAAGGTATTCATAAAAAGTTAAAGTTATAGAAGTTTCTAGTTGGCCCATCGGTTTCGTCAAGTTTCTTGAGGTTTAGTAATTTAAGCTCATGATTTTATTGTTAGCCTAATAGCTAGTCTTGAATGCTAGAAGTTTGCCATGCAGATTACAGGGCACACGTTTCAGAATCTCTTATTTAGGATTTCCACGTGAAGAATTGTGGCTGAGTTACATACAGAAAATATAAAGAGGAGATGTTCTTCGTTCTGTTTGCTAATGGACCACTTGTGCCAGGCAGGAATTTGTAGGTAGTAGTAGTTGAAATTAGGCCTTGATATGGGTTATGTATCCTTCAAGTCTTTGAATTGAATCACGCCAGAAATGCACTCATGAGCTGAGATCTCATTGATCTCTGATACTTACCTCCATCTTTGTACTCTATTGCTGGTTCCATGTAGGGAACTGAAATTCCACTGTGGGGTTTTTCCTCACTGTTACAGTGATCAAACCTGGTTGTGACTATGATTTTGGCACTTCTGGGGTTATCTAGGAGCCTTAGAAAGTGAACCAAGTTTAATAAGCTGAAGTATTGGTTTGCTTTTGATATTTACCTTTATTAGTAGTCTGAAATGTTCAATATAAGAATAAGGACAGTAAACTACAGTTATAGATCTCAGGCAGGCGGCACCTGCTACTCTACCATGTGAAACAGCATGTGCTCCCCTGGTGGCTCTGTTTGGAGATAGCTGGAATTACAGTAGTTCTCTCAAAATTCTCTTCTGTATTTTCCTTAGAAATCCAACCTGGCTGTGGCAGTTACCTCTCAAGAAGTTACAAGGATGGGCCAGGAGGAAAACACCTTTATTTTTCCTTTTGGCTCAAACCCAAAAGGTTAAATATAATTAGACTCTAAGAATTCTGGTAATAACCTACATAATCCAGATGCAATAAACATACAGATGAAAAGTCTTTATTCAATCAGGTCTGAAGTTCTCATAACTTTGATAAATTCAGATTTAGTCTGAGCTCCATTGATTTCAGATGCTCCAGAAGGTGTACCTGTCTTTAAGAGGGCAGTTCATTCACAAAACTGGAAGGATAAAGCTGCTTTAGATTCAGTGGAGCTTTGTGTGTCTCCATTCTTTAGAGAAAAGGAACTGTATAGACAAGGTGGCTAACTAGATTGCTAAAAGCAAGTGGCATTAACCCAGCTTTGGAAACTTGGGTCTGTCTTATGACATGGAGATATATAACCTAAATGTGATTATAAGTAGTTGATATATTAAGTATATGTAATAATAGTTAATGCTTATTCAATGCTTTCTTTTTCCTACATTCCAAGGCAGCTCACAAGACTTTTTACAGTTTTGGCACTAGTTTATAGATGAGAGGATGAAGTTGCTAGATGTGAAGTGACTGATTCAAGGTCCTAAAGTGAACCAGTGGCAAAACTGGAAAGAGTTCAAGTCTGATGACTTCCTCTTGTGGATATGTCACTTTTATTTGTATTTTTTTAAGAATTATCATCATTTGTTGATGATGATGTAAGTAACCACTGAAACATTGCAGATGATTGCTTGTATTGTTGAGGCAATTTTGGCTCACTTTTCCTTGAAGCTGGCTTTCAAGTGTTGAAAATATGAGTAAATGGGTGAAGTCTGCATTTCTACCTCTTTACACAAAATGTACATAAGATTTCCAGTAAAACTATTTTTGACTTTCTGTGAAAGAGTATGTATATTTTACCATAGCTTTCTAGTACTGGCAGGTGCTTCAGCTGTTTTTCACTGTACTTGGCTAGGCTATATCTGGAGGAACAAAAAAGTGATTACAGCTTCTAAGGTATGGTTACCAGCAGTCAGATCGACAAAGGGGTTAAAAGTGAGACAGCCCTATCTTCTACTTTAGTGGAAGTGTAGTTGTTGATTTAAAGCTCTTGGTAAATGATTGTTGGAGATCTGCCATGTGTAGCAGAGCATTCAGAAAGCATACCTCAGACTCTGCTTCCTCCTAAAGAGCGTTTGCCTTGTCTCACTTTAACTGCAGTCTTTTAAGGTAAAGCAGGCAAAACTCACCAGCCAGCAGCCATGGAAGATCAGGTCTTTACCAATGCTTATCAAAATGTTAACAACACCAATATGTATGAGATTCCAGAATCTGAGGAAGAACAAGAAAATAATCTTTATGATCATGAAGATCCAGCATCTTCCATCACTGCTATCTCAGAGAGCATGGTTAGTAGTCAAGAGAGCTCAGAAGATAGCTGTAATAATTCTGTGGCCTCTCAGCATGGGGCTGATGGGGAGGATGGTTCTTCTTCATCTCACCATGATGCTGAAGAAGACCACCCATACCAGGAGATGGATCGGATGAGCCCAACTTTGGAAGATAAACACATAGAAGACACGCTGTTTGAGAGCAACGTGCATTTTCCTCTGGATTTCCAGTTGCGTCGGAGCCAGAGCACTTCTTCCAACTCTTCAACTTCCATCAGGTTCCCCCTTAACAACAATTTTGGAGAAACTGACAACTTTCAGGAAGATTATGACATTTGCATATTTGTAAAGGTAAGAGCTTGGGTGCTCCTAAGAATACATTAGTTTTAAACTCCAAATCAATCAGTGTGTCCTCCAAATCAGTAAAATAGAGCTACCTGCCGCTTTGTTCCCAACTCTGCTGCCTGTGTGCTGCAGGGGGCCAAGCCATTCGCTTACCTCTTGCATCTTAAGGCACAGAAAGAGAAGATTTGTGTTGTGTGGAGATGCCTGGGATTTCTTCCTTTCAAGTGGGAGTAAGAATACAGTGAAACTATTCTGATTCTTGCTGCAATTCATTTATTCTGAGGTATCTCCCTGCTGTTACAGCTAGGCAATCATACTTGGACTGGTTTAGTTAAGCTAGTTCAGCTATCCCTGTGTTTCACTATCTCTCTAGTAGCTAATAGCTCAAAAGTGATAATTAGAAATGCTATAAAACCCCCCAAATATATAGTTTAATTAATGGCAATAAAATTTCCAGAAATACTCATCCCCAAAAGAGGTGTGTCTTTTATTTCTTCCAGTATTTAGATTGATGTATTTCTGTGATGATTTCAACATGTACTTTCATTAATTTCAAGTTCAAATTCCTGAAGGGACTTTCACAATTTCTCTAACTTTGTAAAATTTTACTTAAATTTCTAAACCATAAACACCTATGTTCTTAAATAAATGCTATACTTCTCTTCATAAAAACTCTTATATTCAACCTTTCTCAACAGAAGTCTTGTGAAGTTTGTCACTTTTCAACATAAATAAGATTATCAGAATCTGTTCCTCAGTTCCGCAGGTGCTTTGAAGGCGGGATAAGAGATTTTGTAAGAGATTAGTGAGACATGTTTTCAGCAACGTCTGTATTTCATTAATTTAGTTTATTTAAGCAAGAACACACTATAACCTTTGCATTGGTGTGAGATGCTGATTGTCTTGTATGAGCTAGGGGAGATCAAATGGCTTGGTGAACTCTCCTCACGCTTCACTTGGTTTCTGTTATAAATCTTGGATTTCTTGGAAAACTGACTTAGTTAAAGAGTTGCCCTTCATTTACTTGTAGGGTAAAGGAGATCGCTTCCATAAAGTGTCAACAGAATCTTGAGATTCTTTTGAATACATTAAGAAAGCTATGATTTAAATATTTTTCCTTTGTGTCATGTCTTCCCATAGATGAAAACTTGATGTTATTCCCCCTTCATCTTTCACTTCTCTATGTGACAATCATTTGTGATTGCTTTTCTAATTTTTGCATATAGATGATAAAAATTATTGAGAAATTAAAAAAAAAAAAACAAAAACCAACCAACCAAGCAACCAAACAAACCAGAAATGGCTATCAGGTTACTTAGTCTTGTTCTGCATAAGAGAAACCATAAAACATCAGCCATTTCTCTTGAATTTCAATATAACTGCAGCTACTCTTCTAAAAAGAATATCCTTCAGCAGATGGAGTAGCTACTAATTGCCAGGGCATGGATCCTGCTGGGTCCATGCATACTGCTGCAAGGGGGTTTTGCTACTGATTTCTCTGAAGAGGGCTATGAGAGCTGTGTGTGAGGGCACTTGGCCTTTTCGTTATCTCCATAGTACTTACACTGTATGACTCTGAAGTGGCAGCTGTCTTATTTCTGTGACTGGGTTGTGGTCGTTGCTGAAAATGTATTAATTATATGGGCAAAGTAGTATCTATGGGGGTGTTTCTAGTTCATATCTCTGCTTGTAGCCCCTCATACATGTACCAAAGTTGCAGCAGTTGTGTATATTTTGTTTGTTAGTAACTCTATGGTGTGAGCAACATGAATGCTGTATTTTGACTTTAAAATAACTTGTCTTTATTCCTCTGGAGCTGGAGGCCCGGTGGGCAAGGCATTGGATACTTACGCGTGGATGGCTGAACTGAACTCCTGCAACAGCAGTTTATTCTTTCAGAAACTGATGATGTTTCATTTTTGGATTTTTGCTTTTCTTTCTTTCTGGTATCAAGGTAATAAAGCATTAACTCCGAGGAGTGCAGAGCCAGCTTTGCTGTCTTTAATTATCTAGATAGCAGAAGTCAGCCTATAAAATGGAAGGTCATAGAGTAATATACAATAAGAATTGTGAAATACCTGAGGGCTATCACTTCTTGCACAGTAGAAACCAAATGTTTTAGTTGTGTCAATGGCAGTATTAAAAAACAGTTCCTTTCTGGTATGTTCCCTTGTCCACCTGAGACCAGTGTTGCTCTGAAATTGGGTTCATCTTCAGGTTTTGCTCTTTCTTGCAGACATTGACAGTGACAGCAGGACTTTTTGCTGTGGGACCATAGTGGTAATGACAATTGTGCCACCATTCACCCTTCCCTTTGTTTGTAGCACTAATACATCTCTGTGAGTGGCTGGAAGCATGAGTGTCAGAGAGAGGTCGCTGCTGGCTGAAAACCGGAGAACGTGGGAAGATTAAATGATACCTAATTTACAGTCTAGCTGGCTTACTTGCCTAGAATAGAAATTTAACTTCATCAGAATATTGTAAGTGCTATTGCATTAGGAGCATAGCTTCAGTCGGTCTGGATAATCTTATCTGTAGTCCATTCTGTGTTATTAGACACCAAGAAAATGTTTAAATTGCATTAACTCATCTTTCACTGATTATCAGTACTTGGTAACTATGTCATCGTCAGCAGAGTATTGCAGGATATGCCATAAGGTAAAAAATTTTGGCTTTCATCAAGGAATTCCCTGTACCTTTAATAGCAGAATGTAGCATGTGCCAACATGGAGATGTTTGTGTGAGTTCAGTATGCCCAGGCTTGTCACAGCCACCTTAATGCCCTTTCAATAGCACTGTAATTTCTTCAAACAAAAGCCTTTGAAATTTGAACAGAAATATGACTGACATATGGGCTGTGTTTCTGAGTGCATAGTTCAGCTTGACCTAATCGTAGCTGTTGCTCAGAGGTCCAACCTTTTCACTTGTACACTGTATTTCCCTATTTAGCAGTGTGTTTGTTCTGAAGGTTGAGTTTCTTGAGAATTTTAACTTTTTGCTTTCCTGAAGCTTGAGTTGCTATTTAAAGAATGGTCCCTCTATTTTCTTTTCAGAAGAAAATTATTGCCTTTCTGCTTTATTGACGACCTGAGACTGGCTGCCTATTTTACCCTCTCTGTACACATTTGTGCCAGTTCCAAAAAGAAGTAATTCTTTACCCTGAGCAATAAACACCTTGTGTTATGAAAACAATACAAATTTAATACCATGGTTTAGCATGTGTTGGATCACTGCACCTGGGTAACAGAGTTATGGATGCTGGAAGGCACCTCTGGAGATCACGTAGTCCAGCCCCCCACTTGGAGCAGGTTGCTCAGGGCCATGTCTGGTCAGATTTTGAATATTTCCAAAGGTGAAGAATCCACAACTTCTCTGTGCAACCATTCCAGTGTTCTACCCTCATGTTTAAAATGTGGTTTTCTATGTTTAAATAGAATTTCCTGTATCTCACTTTGTGCCCATTGCCTCCTGTCCTTTCACTGGGTACCAGTGCTTATATTTAAAAATGCTGTTTTAAGAAAGATACTGCTTTTAACTTCTCTGTACATTGGAACTTAAACTTTTAGGTGTTTCCATTGGGATTATTGTATCCTTTAGTAAAATTTCTCTAAGTCAGTAGCTGGGAATGAAAGGACATTTCTGTTTTCTGACATGCCTCCCACTCTTTTGTTTCCAAGTCAGGAAGGTCTGAGGGCTCTAACTTTGTGGCACAACCCTGTGCTACCTCCCTACTGACTCACGGAGTTGAGCTGAACTCATGAATGAGAGACGATGTTCTTAACAGGGACAGTGAGATTAATCACTTGTATCACTGAAAAAATCATGCTCCTTCCCACTGAGTTGGCTTTTCTGTTGTTTTATGGAGCGCATTGGTATCTGTTGAAAAAGTTTTGTTTAAAAATGTGTATTAATGGTTTAGAACATGAGGTTACAGGACGTAGCTAATTTTTAGCATGTATTATTTGAAAAGAGTTGAACCAAATCATAATGTAATCACTTGGATGCCCAGTCTTAAGTTAATGGTTATGCTGGTGCTTTGCTGAGCTGAACTGAGCATTTTGTAGAAGCAGATGAAAAGTAAAAGTACCCAGCACAAAGGAACATTTGTAGCTTTCGGTAGGAAGTCCTGCAGGGGGGTTCAAATAAAGGGATGGATATCAACATGAATGAGAGTATCAGTTTTTCAAATTTTCAACCACTTATTTCTTGCTACACTCATAGTCTACAGAGTAAAACAACTGCACTTGTAATTTTGTAGTGGTAGATATTTGCAAGCATAACTGGGTGTCCAAATACCTTTTAGCAATGCAAGCCAGGTAGTCTTTTACTTGACTCCAATACAGCACATAAGCCTGGTGTTAAACCATATCTTCTCCACTGAGGTTTGCAGGTAGTAAAAGAAGTTCTGGCTGAAGCCAGGTGGCAGGTGTTACCTTAAATATGTACTTAAAATTACTATAATTTGGCATTTTATGACATTTTCACTTTTAAAAATATTTTTTGTAATAAATGTAATGGAAGTAAGCAAATATTATTTTGGTCTTATTCATAAGCTTAGAAAAAGGTTAAATGATTCATAATCCACCTTTTAAATAGTGGTAACTGAGCAACTTGAGCAAGGAAAAGATCCAAGAACTATTTTCTCCAGACATGGCAGATTTACAGACCAAGATGCAACGTGCTGAAGTTAACACGTGCACAGTAAGAAGTGACTAATGGGGAGTCAATAGCCTAACATGATACTTTTTTTTGATAATTTTAATGAAATTAATGGATTTTTTTAATGCAAGTAGTCTTATTTAAGATAGTTTACAAGTACAAATAAGTATAGAAATACAAGTCTGGAATATCAAGTGATAACATGTGTCCTCATGCCCTCAATCTTATCTGGACTATCCCTAACAGGTGCTTCTTTGAAAACACTCAGTGATGCAGATTCAGCATTTATACCAATTAGTCTCTGTCAGTGCTTAATGATTTTCCTGAGACAAATATTTTCCTCTATT